GAGGTGGAAACGGTTCCTTCGGTGAGTCACGAAACCCAAAATGCCGGTGAGCCGCCGGTGCCCGGCGGGAAGGCGATGCCTGCCGCGTTTCTGCCGTATCGGGAAAGAGAGGCTTGTCGCACACCAGCTTGTGCGTGCCCGTGGGCCGCTGCCGCCGTTCCCCCGCGGGAACGCAGAGCCGCACCGGCGGCCTCGCGGGGCTCCCCGGAACAAAGAGGGGCTGGGGCTGCCGGCTCGCCCACCGCCGCCTTCTCCGGCCGCCCGGAGACGGCGGGCTGTAGCCCGGTGTCCGCGGCGCTGGCACACGGAGCCCTTTACCGGCGTGTGGAGCGTGTGCTGCTCCCGCGTTGCCTTGAGAAAAGCGGAGGAGAAACGTGAGGCCGTTTAAAATGTTCCGTGCGCTTAGTGTATGCGGTCAAGCAACACCCTTGGCTGTGTCTCTCGATTTCTCACAGCATGTGTGTTGTTCTTCCATATTCATCACCAGCTACGTAGCTTGTTCCTAAAATACTTGTATGCTTTGAAGTGATGAAATTCGGAACTTTCTAGAGAAATCCTCAGATTCGTGTATGAGGTCTTGTCTGGTTTTGCTTTGAAAACACTTGCAGATAGCGCTGTGTGAGTGGAAAGTTTCTGGGCTTTTCATTGTTACCACTAATGTTATTCAAGCAAATCCATGCGCTTGTTTGTGTTTCAGCTTCTCGCATCTATTGCTTCTACAAGCTGGGACCTGCAGAAAACTGTATTGCAGTTATTTGAAACTTGCGAAGCTGAGCTCTGTCCTGGAGGTTCTTTAATCTAAAAAGTGTTACCGAAAACTGTACGATGGGGATGGATCGCTGGGGTGGACCACAGAAGGAACTATGTTATCTGCTCAATGTGTGATTAACATCAGTGGAGTTTAGATGCATGCAGAGGAAAGATTATTGCCTAATAACCCTCTAGCAAACTTATTCTGAATTATAAGACCTGTTTAAAACAGAAGCCATTGTTCTGCACAGCCCTGTAGGCTTATCCTGCATATCTGGTGATTCACAAGCTGAAAAGTCCCAGTTTGCAATCAAATGGGTAGATGTTCTTTTCCTGTCTTTTCTGCAAAGTTGAGATGTGTGCCATCCTTGGCAATGAGTTCTGGTGAGCGTGATCTGTAACATCTACAAATGCAGAAGAGGGTCTGTCTAAAAAGAGGTGTTATAGACTGGAATAAAAGCAGGTCTCGACATTACTGAGCTTAGAATTTATTTAAAACTAACAAGTTACCAGATTTGAAAGGTGTATGTTATTCTGGACAAGACTGTAGGCAGCAGTTTATTTTTATATCAATGGCAGAATTTTATATGGGAAGGCTTGGGGCTCTCCTTCGAGTAGTTCAGATCTAATACTTCCATTTTGTAAGAATTCTTAAAAAAAACCCAAACAAACAACAAACCTGCACTCATTTGCATGACACAAGCTCACTTCAATAGGAACTTGGAGAAGGTAGAAAGAAAGGAGAAATCAAGCCCTTTCTGGATTCCAGTAACAACAAGTTGTGGGGATAGAAATGAAGTAAGCTAAACTAAAAAATAAGTGGAAGGTGAAAAATACTTTCACTGTTTAGTTGCTTATGGACTGTTTACTCATTAATCAATAATGCACATGGAGATATTTTCTTGCTGTTTCCTTACAAGTTTTAAAGGTTCTGGGATGTCTTCCTACTGCAGTTTCAGTTTCCTATTGCTGACATATTCTTCCACTGGGGTAGGTTGTTGTTTTTTCTTCCCCCCAGTCAGTGTTGATGCTTATTGCTGCTTAAATCTCTGCAGCTCTTATGAACAGGTTCAGATGGCGTGGATTCGAACAGGTTCTGCTGTGGGGGTCCATCCTGAAACAATGACAGTCGGCAGCATACACAGCAGGAGTTGTTTATCATGCAAAGACAATCTGCTTGAGGGTAGGATGGTAGATCGAGGAGAATGCTACCACGTAGCCTTTTGTATTGTGCACATCTGTTATTCATGGAAATTTAACAAGTGATTGGTTTTGTGTGGGGGCTGGTTATTTTTCTTCACTAGGCTGACAGGATAGCTTTGCCTGGAGTACTGTGATAATAGGGCCATTGCTTGGATTCCTGTGGTACACTGAACTGGCAGTAAACTTTAGCTGCTTTCTTCTTTGTCTTTCTAACACTGTGACTTTTCTCCTGATACATTGAAGAAGGCAATAGAGCCCCACAGTATTATTATCGTTATTAACTTGGATATTCTATTTATCTGTTATGCTAAAAGAATTAATAATTTTCATGGGACCTTGTTGCTTGTTTTCCAGGAGCAGGTAAATAGTACTGCAGCAGACCAGGTTTCTCCTTTAAAATGAAGTAACATTTATCTAAGACATAGGGCATCTGTTCTGTCTGTATCGGCTACTTCTGATGCATTTGTGTCCATAGGGTCTGTGCGTGTGGTGGGGAGTGTTTGTTGTTGTATGACCCCATTCTCTACTGGGATGTGTGGGAGTGCTATAAACATGATTTTCCTTGTCACTACAGTCTTGGAACCAGGCATGAGGTCAGCTGTGGAATGATGCTTCCCAGTAGAAGAGCAAGAGTGGATTCTGGGCAGTGTAAGGAAATATAGATGGGGGAAAGAGGCAGTGTTCCTGTCATGAAAACTCTGTATTAACAGTAACTCTCGAGTAAAATTGCCCTCACTTGTTTTAAGTGGAAGAGATTTCTGGTGATCAGATTCTTCTGTTTGCCTGAAATTGTAAAGTTTGATTTATTCATTTTCCATTCATATATTCAAATTCAATTTGACCTGCATAAAATGGAGATGCTCTGAAGTCTCCTCTAAAGTGTAGTGTTCAGGTCGTAAGATGCATGCACTGCATTTGTTTGTTTTAGTCTCAGGTGTATATACTTTGCTACTTTGAATATCAAGCAACCACATGGCTTTTCATATGTTTGTATGCCTGATTTAATGACTTCTGTTGATAGTGCTCAAGCCACATCAGAGGGAGCGAGAACACTAGACCTTTGTTTCCTCCCTTTTGTGCTGTTTTGCATTTTGCTTTCACTGGCTGGTATCTCTGGGAGGGAAGTCTTTTGTTCCTTTCACTCTATCCTAATTTCTCTTCTTCCACAGTCCTATTGCAGTGCTGCTACTCCACTTTCTGTTTTTTTGGGGGGATCCCTCCCTTGAAAGAGACTGTGAGTATACCTACATGGTATGATAAATTCTTGGCTGCCTAAAATGATGACTGCCTATGAACAGCTTGTTTATGCCTAGGCTGAAATAGGAGGAGGGAGCTCAGAGGCAGATGGTATTGCTAGTCTGTACCAGACTGTCAGAGATGAATCTGAGCCACTAACTTGACTTTTATCCCCTTGTTAGAAGCAGAGAGAACACTCTTGCATGTTGGTAGTAGCTCGATGTGTACTGAGGAGGAGAGTTAATGTAGCAGGACTCCAGCTCCCAAGCCAAAAACAGTGGGTGTGCAAGTCTGTAGCAGGGATAATTTAAAATATAACTGACTAAGCCTGTGGGGCTTTTTATTCACCTTGGTGATGTTTGTCTTTTGGCTTTGCTGCTTCTCCTAAGGGAAACTAAAATACTAACACCTTAAAAGAGTCTTCCATCTTGCCAAAGAAGTAAAAGTGCTATATGAAAACAGAGCCCCATAACTCCCTGGCATGGGGGAGGAAAGGGTACAAAGCTTGCAGGGCTGTGTATTGTTCTCTCAGTAAAGAGAAATGGGTGTAGTATGTGGAGGCTCTTGAACTTAGGGTGGGAAGGAGTGAGGAAGATAGGTGACAGATGCACTTGACTTTAGCTATAGAAGATGCAAAATATGAAGCTCTTCAAAGTGAAAATTTCTTGGACCTCTCCTGTTTGCTGCAGATTAAGCCGAGAATCCAATCAAACTTAAATCCAGAGTGTTGCCTAGTCCTCTTGCTTGGAGAGAAGGACCATTGTCAGATTTTTATACTTAATAGATAGCTGTTGTGTTAATTACTATAGCCCTTGAGGTGACTTGGAGTACCTCTGCTGTTGCTAACATGGAAACAACTGTAGTATAAAATTTCTTGCCAGATACTCATTCCTGTATGTGACTATTGTTGATTTCCTCTTTTTTTTCTTCCCTCCTTTCTTCAGAGCTGGATGTAGGTGGGTTGCTGAGTTTAGTCAGACTTCGGTTTTGATTAATCTAGAATTGATGAACAAAGTTTGGATCAGAGTTGCTGGTTTGACAAGTTGGTGGACTGCAGAGACATGTGGTTTACAGAAGTAGAGCTAGACTTGTCAAAGGGGATGACCATCATATTACTGTTCTTTTGTTTGACTGGAACAAAGCTCTTCAGGAACAGGATTCAGGAGGTCAGTGTAGTGACTCAGAAAGGAGTAACATCCTCTAAAAGAGGAATGGAGCTGCTAATCCCCATATGACTAGAGATGTGCTTCTGCTTTGCCTAAAACCATTGGACTCCTGACATCTGCTGCCAAAAATAGCAATTCAACTTTGCTATTTCACCAGCATTGCTCATATTGTTAGTTTCAGTCTTAACAATAAATCATGAAGCAGCTTCTTCTACATATATCTCCTCTTTTTCCACCTAAATCCTCTCTGGTGAGAAGTTTGAGGAAGACAGTCTTTCAATTATGTACCAAGGTATGCATAATGAAGTGCTGGGGTTCAGCAGATGTGGACTGGTGAGAGTTACAGCTGTGGTGTTGGGAAAGTAATTTTCATCAGCACATCCAGTAAATGTGTTCAAAGAGTTGCCTATATCCCTGAAGGCCGATAAACTGTACCATTCTGCTTGCCCTATATTTGAATTAAGATTGGATTTACAGTCTGTAGTTTGACAAAGATCCATTTATGTTAAAAATTATATGTCAGGAATTCAGTATTCTTGGTTAGAATCTTGTTTTGCTTTGCACAGGCTCTTAGCTCAATTGTTTTTCTTCAAAGCTCAGTATTTTAAACTTTTTAAGACTTTCTAGTTTACAGATATTTGACTGGCTCTACTAATCTGTAGAATTTCAATGAAGTCTAAATTTATTGTATAGATAACATGAAGATCTGTCTTTTAGCCTCTTTATTCACATTTTCTGCTGTTGATGGGAAAATGGGAGACAGACAGTTTTAAGTAACTGCTGGCATTTTAAGCAGCATGATGTTTAGTTAAATCTTTGCATTGTTGAAATGAGAAATACTGCTGTTCATGGGTTCTTTCTGATCACACCTGCTGTCAGTACAGTCAAAGCTAAGTCTATTAATTTGCTAGGAACATTCTCAGGAAGAAGTTGGTTGGGATATAGCATAAAGGTGTTTGACTAACAGCTAAGTCTTCTGCCCTACAAACCAGAAATGGGAATGCCCTTTTTTTTACCCA